GTTACAGATGAGGATATTGGAGCTCAGAAAGGTCCTATAAGTGGCCCAGCAATTTATAGACAACAGCCAAGCATATCAACTCAATAGTCTGTCCAAAACCAAAGAGCTTACACACTTCACTAGGCTTAGAGCCACGATGGGCCTGGGGCCGTGACCTTGCCCGGACTGGGAACAGAAAAATATAAGCCCTAAGGCCACTGCTGTTACTGTTGGAAGTTACAGGTGTGTTTATGCACCTAGAAGGAAAGGTGATGTGTAACGCAACCGGAAGGTGGGGGTTAATTATAGGATTTCCTCTCCTTTCAAGCTTGAAGGATGAGATTTAAGCCTTTCTGCTACGGGGTGGAGACCAAGTCCTGGCTGCAGCTTCCTCCTTTCACCCAGCTGGGGCCTGGGGCACGGACAGAGGACAGGAAAGAGGCTGAGGGAAAGCTAAAGGAGGAAGCCAGGGCGGTGAGAAGGAGCTGCCCACCCAGCAGCTGCCAGCTCCTTCCCATAAGCCTTTCCTACCCCACATGGACAACGGAAGGCACTTTGCTGGCAGGAACTGCTGAGGTCAGCTGGGAACACACAACCAAGACAAGGTGAGAACCAGGCACCCCACAACCCCCACCCCTAGAGAAGCATAGTCAAAAACGGAAGTCGGGGGTTGGTGCTGGACATCAGGGCACACTCAGACCCACACATTCAGATGACAGAGAGGGCAGTGACAGGCATCGTGGGACCGTGTGTCACCCACGCTGGCAGAAGAGCTGTGTGCATGCACGCACTGCACTGGGCTAGAGAAAGGAGGAAGGCGAAGCTGGGACCCTCAGTTTAAATCCTCAGTGAGAAAGAAAAAAGTGAGGACAAATAAGGACCCAAGGAGGCAGACAAGCAAGCAGGGACACAGAGCAGCTCAGAAGTGGTTCCCCTCTGGAAATTCAGGGTCCATGACCCAGGGTGAGAGCCCAATGCCTGAACCTACCTCTCTACCTCTCTCTCTCCCCATACTCTGTTCCCTTCTCAATTGCTCTCTACCATGAATCCCAAGGCAGCACCAGAATCACGGAGAAAACCCATGTGCCTCAGTGCCATCAGCCACATAAGTTACCTTCCCTGGGTCTCAATGTTGGATCTGTAGAATGGGTTACCACAAGCCCCTCCCAGCTCAAAGAATTGCAAAAATGAGTGAAAATGTTCCAGTGTTACAAAGTTCTGAATACACACAGGTGACTAAATGTTCATAGCCATTCTTTAAAAAAAATGTAAAAAGATTTATTTATTCAAAAGGTAAAGTTATACAGATGGCAGAGAGAGAGATCTTGCATCCACTGGCTCACTTCTCAAATAACTCCAGTGGCCAAGACTGGGCCAGATTGAAGCCAGGAGCTTAGCACTCTGTCTAAACCTCCCATTTGGATTCAGGGACTCGGGGACATGGGCCATCCTCCACTGATTTCCCAGGTGCACTAGCAGGGAATGGAATTGCACATGCAGCAGCTGAGACATGAACCTGTGTTTCTATGGGATGTGGCGATTGCAGATTGCACTACCATGCTGGCAGCGAGATCACAGTTCTTTCCATGACAGCCCCAAGGTAGACAGAAACTAAAGGAGGCAATCCACAGAGGGATGGCTAAATCACGGTCTAGCCCCCGCCCTGGAATACAACACAGCAATAAGAAAAAAGCAGTCACAGTGGGTCTCCCAGACAAAGGCAAGCATATGGCAGTCTGTGGCTTAGGCAACGCTTATTTCTGCTGATGCCAGGCAAGACAGCAGGGACATTGGCGGTACCAACGTGGCTCCTTCCAGGGTGCTGGAATGTTCTCGGTTTTGATCCCAGCCCGTGGTTGGACACACATGTATCCAGTAGGACATTTGAGCTTCTGTCTGACATGGTACGTGAGTTGTACCCACATGGAAAATTAAAAATCGCCCAAATTATTCTATGTAGCACCCTCCCCAGTGTCAGCTGGAAGGGGAATGAGCAGGTGGGTTTGCTGCCACTTCTTTCCCACTCACTGCCTCCCTTGTTTGTCTTTCAGTATCCTTCATTCCACCCTTCGTTCCTTTCTTGGAACCCCCAACCATAGGCACAGTGCTATCAGGGAAGTCAGGGTGCAGCACCTTCTCTGACATACCAGGTAGGCAACCCCAACGTCATCTGCCATGAGCCAGGCCCCTCTCCCACCCCCACAACACCGGCTCTAAAGCAAATCCAAGTGACACAGAGCTAGCCAGGCTCTCTGGGCTCCTTTCCAACTGTGGCCCTGTCGTCATTCCAAGAAAGCAGAAAAGTGCCCACTATATGCCCATGTGCACTTAATCCTCTCCAGCCAAGCTCACGAGGTGGTGGCTGCAAGGCAGTGGGTGGAGCTCAACCCCAGGCCCATCTGCTTCCCACGTCATACCCATGGCCTGCTATCCATCACACCCATGGCCTCGCAGGTGCCAAATTGGTGCCTAGACCTCAGGGCCACCTTTACTTGGATCCCTCCCACACTGAACAGGCGTGACCCAGTAACCAACAGGTTGTGGCAGGACTTGCGGTGAGGGCTCTTTCGAGGCCAGAACCCAAATGACACTAGGGCCCCTGCCATGGTCTCACAGCTCACTCACTCCGGGGGAATAGTCAAGGTACACAGGGAGAGAAACTGAGACCTCCTGCCAACAGCCAGCCCCATGCAGCAGCTGCAGAAGGACAGGATTCTCCAGCTCCTGGCTACCCCAGCCTGCCGCTCTCTAGCTCACCTCTTGCAGAACCACCTGAATATGAAGCCTCTCCCTCCCCTGCTACAGGGCAGGCCCTCTCCATCTTGTTCACTTGGAGTAGCACCTGGCACTCTGAAAGAGCTCAGGGATCATCGGTTTGATAAATAAACATTCGCAGAAGCAGAGACAGGGACCAAGTGTGCTCCAAGTTGAGCTGAGTTGTAAGCACTGAGGACAAGGTCCTGCTGTATGCTTGGTAGCTCCCACTGCTATTCCCATTATGAGGAAAAGGGCAGGGTGGAGGCGAGAGCTGTGGTTGCCATTCATACTGGGTGGAGCATGCACACCAGGTGGGTGGCATTTCCTAAGGGGGAACCCCAATATAGAGTCCCACCCATCAACCTGGCCACTTGCTGGCCAGGGCACCCTCTCCACCCTCAGCTAGCCTCCTTAGCTAGCACAGCGAGATCAATGGCTTCGCCTGGTACATTCTGAGCCTCAGCACAGGCCATCTTTGGCATCATCCTGCCACCACCCCTTCTGCCTTATTTCTCTGGGCCACACGTTCCCCCTCTTGCTCACACTCTTCGCCACCAGTCAGTGTGAGAGTTGGAATGCAAAAACAGGAGGGCAGATAAGGATGCAGAAATGCCTGGCAATATGCAACGAGCAGTGAGAAGTGCAAAGGCCCAGGGGCAGAGAGCAGGGATGGAACCATGCCATGAGGACCTGGGGTTCTTGGCCTCATGTTTTCCTGGCCCCTGTCTTATCTGCTAATGGAACAAAAAAAAAAAACAAACAAACAAAAAAAAACAAACAAAAAAACAAAAAAACCTCTGATAATGCACACCAAATGGCCTAACACATGGATGTTCACAGTTACTCTGGTCCCAGAATAGAGAGGCTGGGGAGGAACCATAAAACTGGAAAGCTTAGCGCTATAGGTGGAAAGTCCAGAAGAACCAGGGAGGCACAGATATTGGCTTCCCAACAGAAGATGAAGAGGTTGGGGGGCAAGATAAGAGAGCAGGTCAAGCGTCCCCTTCAGCTGATGCACCTGCCGCAGGCCAAGCCCTGGGCACCTCTGCTGGATGAGTATGCCAAGCAGCAGGTTATGGGTGGGAAGACACCCTTCCAGTGAAGTGTGATTGTGACTGAAGCAAGATCCCTGCCCAGGCCTGCTGGCGCCCCCTGCACGCTTTCTCCAAAATAGCACTGACCCTTGGAGCTCCCAGCAACTGTGCACCTACTGTGTGTCAGGCACTGCACGGTGCACTCCATACCAGTGCCTCAGTGAAGCCTCACACCTTCCTTGAAGATGAAACACCAGTCCAGAGTGAGAGAGTGGGTGTGCGAGTTCCCAAAGCCACCCACCAGCTAATCAGAAACACAGCAAGAGCTGCAACAGGTACAGAGGGACCCAGCTGCTCCACACTGTTGTCTCAAGCGCGCTCCCATCCCCTCCTGCACACTGAGCTACTTCCTGGAGAGTTCAAGGATGCAGGGGGCAGTGGTGCGACAAGGTGCAGAGAAGGTGGGAGAAGCTTCCCCAGCATAGTCAGGCAAAGCTTTTCCGCTGGCTCGCAGAGCTGAGCTCACTTCTCAGTTTTCTTCCCAAACGCCTGCGCCGTTTCCCTTCCTCTAAGAAGCTGACGCATCCTCCTCTGCCCAAGCCCTGGCTATCCCTGCTGTCTGCTTGCCTCAGTTTCTCTCTCCCACCACAAGTGGCCAGAAAATGTTGAGAGGGAAACTGAGGCACGGAAAGGGGCAGGGCAATACATTGGCATGTGACATGGTACAGAGGGTTCCAGATTCAGGGACCTCCTGACTTCCTTCCTCCACCCCCTTCCCATCTCCATGGCCTTCTGCCCAGCCCCCATCGGCTTCTCTCTCCCCCACCCAGGTCCTGCGGCTGGGACACTTTTTCACAACCACGCCCAATCAGACCAGCTGCAACGGACTCTGTGCAGCCCTGGGGTCATGGAAACGCTCTCCACCCCACATGCTCCCCTTTCCTGGAGAACTGGAGGCAATATGTGAAAGCCTCCTCCCTGGAGCCGGGGCCGCCACCAGCGCTGCCCAGACCGTGCGCTGCACTAGCCCCCAATTCCCCCTGGCTTCAGCCTTCACCTTGACCTGCTCTCGCAATCAGGCCCCGACGCTTTGCATAAACAAAGAGAGGAGGAGGAGGGACGACCCGGGCGCCGCCCCCACCTCTCCGCTGGCGCCCCTAGCCCACCACCAGACCCCCGGCGCGCCAGGCCCGGCCCCCGCGTCGTCCCGCCTGGCCCGCTGCTCCTTACCTTGGCCTGGCATTTCCGATGACAGGAGAAGTTGCAGACTGCAGGAGGGCGAGACACAGAAAGAAAGTTTTAGCCGCGAGGTATGAAATGGAAACTCCGGCGAAATCTCCTCCCACCGCGCCCGCAACCCGCGCTCCGAGGGAAGGAGGGACGCGGAGGGAGGGGCGGGAGCAGCGGCTGCGGCTGCGGAGGCTCCCGGGCCTGCGGGCCTTCGGGCCTGCGGGCGGGCAGGCGCCACCCCACCCCTCCCTCCTGCCAACCCCCTCCCCCTGCAGCCAGAGCCCCTCCGGGCGCGGGAAGGCGGGAGGGGCACAGAGGGCGCCGGCTCCTTGGCTGGATCCCCGCCAGGGCCCGAGGTAGCCAGCACCCAGGCCCCATGCCAGCCCCTCCCAGGAACACGGGGCCTCTCCCCTTACACACCAGGCGGGCAGACACCCGCGAACCCGGTCAGGCTCACAGACCCCAGGATGGTGCAGGAGAGGGCCTGCACACACACTTGCACACACTTGCACACACTGGCCCAGGCTATGCCTGCCCTTCCACGCAGCCACAGGCTTGCAGAGCATACCTGGGACATCCACCCTCTTCTGGTCCAGCACGGCTCACATTGGGTCATACAGACACGTGGACATAAGTGCACACAATCTTCACTTGGTGTGAGTTGAAACACGTGCACACTCACATATGCGTGTGCACACATGCACACACACACGCACACATGCACACACATAGACTCACTTCCCCCCTCCCCTCGCAGGAATCAAATTTCCTATCGGGTTCCTGAAGCTTGGAATGTCCCCAGCCCTGCCGCCCCACCCCATTCCCCTACCCCCCAGGGGGCCCCGGCCTCCAGGAGGAATCTGGTCCCTGGGTGGGGTCGGGGCTCCTAAACTGGGTCTGGACCTGCTGACCCTAGGAGTGGAGAGCTGTGAGGAGAAGCCAGGAAGCCACACCTAAGTCCCCAAGGACCGCAGTCTAAAGCCACAGGCAGACCCTGCCTTCTCTCTGCATCCCACTCCAGCCAGTCTGAGCCCACAGACTGCACACAAACACAGCCCAGGGAACCCAAGGAGGCCCCAGAAGCCACACACTTCTTTTGACTGGTTCACAGTCAGCCCCATAGGAGTGAGAAAGCTGGGAGAGGTAGGGAGGCAAACTGGGCAGGGACTCGGGACATGACCTTGGTCATTGGCCTTGTCCTGGCACCTTCTCCAAGCAGAACTAGGTCCTGGCCCAGCTCCGTCTCGTGACTCAGCGGGTGCTGAGCAAGGCTTTCCTGACCCAGAGCCACTCAGCCCTGACCACACCATGACACACCCAAGGCAGACCCATCCAGCTGGCCCTTCTGCTTCTTGCTATCTCTCCCAGACCACCCCTACTGCCGGGGTGGGGGGGAATTTCCTCCCTTCCAGCAGGTGTTCTTGCACCCCAGCCTCACCCCTGATGCTTCCTTTGCTGGCCATGGGTTGTGCAACCAGAAGGTCTCGGTCACATGACCTGAGCTGTGAAGTCCTCTCTGAGCCACTGCCTGCAACCTGGAGAAACTTCCCAGGGCAATCTCTCTCTCCTTCTCTCTCTCTCTCTCAATCTCTCTCTCCCTTCCTTCTCCCAGTGCCTGGTGCAAAGCAGAGGTTTAGTAAATATTTGTTCACTTGGACTTGACTGCAGAGCCCCCCCACAGAATCTGTGTGCACCCACACTTATTATTGCTGATCTGTAACTCCACCCCAAACCCCTGCACTGTCCACCATCACATACTGCACATTCACAAACATCCCTAGGTTTCCCTCTGGGCCTTCCCACTCCAATCCGGACACCGTGGGCACAAGGACAGCAAGGGCCCCATCGTCCTCCCACACACCCCACCCTGCACGCTGGCAGTTCCTGATGTCCACAGTTCTCTCCTACCCCAGGTCCTCAGCACTTGCTGCTTCTGCTGTCTAGAACTCTTCCCCTCCAGAATGTCATTGCTCACCAGGTGGGATTCCTCTTAGCCTTCTGGAATCCGCTGCAAGTCAGCTCCTCTGGGGGGCCTTCCCCAGCTATGTCTCCTCCCACCACTCCTCAGCACCATGGTTATCTCCATGTCGCCACAGTTCACAAGCTGAAGTCACCACTTGCTGCCTGCTACCTGCTGCCTGTGAATGGCCTTTGCATCTCTTCTGCCCATCCCTATTCCCTCCCCCCCTGCCCCACTGGCCTATCTCAGTAACTCCATATCCCAGGCAGTGACAGCTTGCTCTGCCTTAGGCTCAAGGGACACTACAGTGTCTTGACAAAGTGGCCCCAAGCCCACACAGCTGGGCCAGCGCCATGTCTCTGTGGGAATGGCCAGAGCAGTCCTGGGTCAGGTAAGCAAACCACAGCAGGGCTGATGGTGATTCTTTTGCAGGTCAGCACCCCTGGCAGAGAGCTCGGCATGCATGACCTGCAGCCCTGCCTGGCACAGTGACATTTGCAGGCATCTTCAAGTGCAGGGTTGGTGGGAAGATCCCTGGACAGGTGCAGGACAGTGTGTAGAGTGGTCCCTGCATGTTGGAATGTGAGTGCTTATGCAGAAGCCAGATAGCAGGGAGCCCTCCCACTCTACTCCCCGCCACCACCCCAAGAAGCAAGCCAAGCACATGTCCTGGCAGCAGGACATCTCTGGCCGATCTCAAACCTCCACCTGCCCCTCCTGCTGTGGTTTAAATGTGTTCCTGAATGCAGGCAGGAGCTTAAACTCCAGAGCCTTGAAGGTACTAAAAAGGAAAGAGCATGGAGCTGGCAGTGGTATAGCACACTAATCTGCATGCAGCCCTGGCATCCCCATATAAACACTGGCTCATGTCCCGGCTGTTCCACTTCTGATCTAGCTCCCTGCTAAAGGTTTGGAAAAGCAGCAGAAGATGGCTCAAGTTCTTGGACCCCTATACCCATGTGGGAGGCCTGAAAGAAGCTCCTGGTTCCTGCTTCCTGGCTACCAACTTCAGATCAGCCCAGTTCTGGCAGTTGTGACTATTTGGGGAGTGAACCAATGGATGGAAGATCTCTTTAGCGCTCTCTCTGTGTGTGTCTGTAATTCTGACTTGCAAGTAAAATGAATAAATTCTAAAAAGGGAAGAAAAGAAAAAAAAATGAGGGGGGAAATGCATGAGCCATTTACAGGGTTTAAAAGTAGAGCCAGGAGCTTTGAGAAGTGATTACGGCGAGTTGCCATGATACAGTCCCAGAGGACTTGAGTGGCCACAGAGATGGACCCTGTCCGCTTCTGCTGATGCTCTAGACCACTCAGGACCCTGCCAGCAAAAACATGACAGAGGTAAGAACAATAGGGCCCCAGGCATGGCCTGGAACTTCTATGCCAGGAGCCCAGAGAAAACACTTGTGTAAGTAACAAGAAGTTTCTGGCAGGTGGGCTGACACACACTCCTGCTGTCACCTGAAGCTCAGGCTGCTGGCCTCCCAATTTCCAGCCCAACCATTCAGGTGTGTGACAGTGAGGGGAACTATGACAGTACCTTCCCCAGTGGCTGCATGTCCCCTGTCACACACATGGGGCTGATTCGTGGCATCGACCGGTTTTGTGCCCTTCTGAGATGCAGCCATAGGAGGCACAGTGACTTCAGTCGGGGGTCTCTTGGGTCTCCTGCTTAGGGGGAAGTTAGCCCCACCCCAGCCATGAAACCCAGTAGGATGAGGAGCCAGCCAGCTCAGGGCACCATATTACAAGGGAGCCCCGCTGCCTCCAATAGGCCTGCAGGGGAAGCAGCCCTGCTGGCACCTCAATTGCACTGCTTCAGAGACCTTGAGCCAGAGCCCACGACTGTGTCCTATAGGAATCCCACACCCTGCAAACCACGTGAGATAATCATAGTACATTTGGTTTAAAATGGTAAGGAGACGGGGAGTGAGTTTGCATGCAATAGGGGCACAAGACAGCTCAGAAAGCCAGCTGCCAACTCTAGCTCCTCCCTGCCTTTCTTTATCTCGGCAAGCAATCAGTCCTTGTGTCCCTACAATGAACTCCAATGAACCCCAGCCTTCCTCCCAGCTGCCAACCCCTGTATCAGTTCAAACCAGTTACCCTTCCCCAGCGCAGCATCCGCCATCTCTCACCAGATTCGTCATCCTACACCTTATGAAGCCACATTGTTCTCACCTGCAAGCGAATGCATCACACCCTTGCTGAGCACCCCGAATCCAGCATCTCGGCACAGCCTTACCTCTACCCCCACTTGATGTCCTCAAAGGGACCTTTGAGTCTGTGAGGAGCAGGTGTAAAAGGGTAGACTCCTATCCATCCTGCAATGCCCAGTGCAAAATGTCTCTCCCGCCCTGTGCTCTCACACTCCTCAGCTCACACACTCAGGAAAGCTTTTACTACCCTGGCGAGCTAAGGACTCCTTAATGATTAGCCCTGCTGCCCACCCCACCCCACCCCCAACTTACCAGCTGCTTCTGTAAGGCAGAAATGAGATTTTGTTCAACACTGCAGCTTCCCACCTGTCCCTCCCCCAGCAGAGGCCCTGTACAGATCGGGGTTCAGTAAGTGTGGAGTTAAGTTCATCTGGAAGGATTCTCTCCCTTCTCAGCCCGACCCCACCTCTACCCCCAAGATGGGGGTTGATGTTCTGGGGCCAAGTAAGGGTGGGTGAGGCCCACGCTTGAGCTCCTGCTCCTGCTTCAGTGCCAACACCTGGTAGCGGGCAGGGGTGCCGGGAGAAGGGAGCTGATGGAGACTCCACCTGCACATCATTGGTCTTGCTGTTTGCCTCCTGTGGGCCAGCTCATGATTCAGACACAGCTCATGCACCAGCTGGGCAGTCTGGAGCCAGCTACACAGCCCCTCGGAGATGCTCCATTTTTGCATCTGTACCATGGGGTAGTAATGGGCCCGGCAATGGTGTTACAAGGAGTGAATGTTTTGTTATGTTCCGTCCTGTCTGAGGGCTGACTGCTAGTCGCTGCCCATCTCTGGGTTCCTGGGCTCTGGCTCTGATTGGCGAATTGGGATTGCGCCATTGCCTTCAGGTGGATGGCATTTTTACCTCCTTGA